CACCTGGAATATTGTGTGCAGGTTTAAAAAGGACATTGCGGCCTTAGAAAAGGTGCAGCGTAGGGCCACAAGAATGATTCCTGGTCTTAGAGGAATGTCATACGAGGAAAGGTTAGTTGAGCTAAATCTGTTCAGCCTCAAGCAAAGGAGACTGAGGGGGGACATGATCCAGGTCTATAAGATTCTAACAGGTTTGGATGCTGTTCAACCGAATAGTTACTTCAGCATTAGTTCAAATACAAGAACTCGTGGCCATAGGTGAAAATTAGTGGGAGAACATTTCAAACTGGATTTAAGGGAGCAATTCTTTACACAGCGTGTAGTCAGAGTATGGAATAGTCTTCCTGATAACATAGTGCAAGCTGAATCCTTGGGTTCCTTTAAATCAGAGCTAGATAAGATTTTAATAACTCTGAGCTATTAGTTAAGTTCTCCCCAAGCGAGCTCGATGGACCGAATGGCCTCCTCTCGTTTGTATAGTTCTTATGAGATAAGATTTTAATAACTCTGAGCTATTAGTTAAGTTCTCCCCAAGCGAGCTCGATGGGCCGAATGGCCTCCTCTCGTTTGTATAGTTCTTATGAGAAATGTACCGGGACATTCTGGATAAAATTCTGCTGCCATCTACCAGAAAGGAAACAATGAATTGGTTTCAAAGAAAGAAAATCAAATTGTTTGAATGGCCCAGTCAATCACCTGACTTAAATCCCATAGAAAATCTATGGAGAGAACTGAAGATCAAAGTTCATAAAAGAGGCCCAAGGAACCTTCAAGATTTAAAGACCGTTTGTGTGGAAGAATGGGCCAGAATCACTCCTGAGCGATGCAGACGACTGGTCTCCATACAAGAGGCGTCTAGAAGCTGTAATCACCAACAAAGGCTTTTCTACAAAGTATTAAATAAAGTGTGTTCAATACTTATTCCCTGTGTCATTTCACTTTATTTATTATGACTCAACTTGTATACTTAAATGTTCTGATTTCTTTGTATGAATTCAATATTTGGCTTGATGGCAACATCTGGTGGACATTTTGTGTCAATATCCCACTTAGAAATCCCCTTCCTGATAAAAATGCTGATCTGTCAAATACTTATTTTCCCCGCTGTACCTGTGCCCACCACTAACTTCTGTATCAACCAAGAGACTGTGTAGTGAGACTGTGTAGTTTAGTACCACTGCAGATATTCGCTCTGACAATCACAACCATCTTACACCACCAAATGCCGAACGGCTTATTCTCCCTAAAGGAAACACTCATTTTATGTGAATATTACATGAGTTAAGCTCGAAATGAAGGCTATTGTTAAATTTGGTGACATGCTATTTTTGAAACATTCTGATATATCTGTGTAGCTTACAAAACTGTCTTGGCTATTGACTAAGTTTCCCTACAGGAGATTATCATTTTGTGTTATAGGATGCCTTTTGAATTTGTAGCATTTGAAATGTGCAGTTTCTATTGGCCTATAGCCTACAAATGTCTCACTTGGATATTGTAGGCTCGTCTATGAGGCCTAGGATAAGAAGGAACTTGTAATTTCCCAGGATTACTGAATTTGTAACCTATATTGCAATAGGTTATGTTTTTGTTTTTTCTGTGTCAATATATTGTTAAAATTTGCCCATCTTGAAGGCTACACAATTATCATATGCTTAGCTAAAGTATGAATGAGTTTGAATGAACAGGTTATAAGCTATGTTGGCTTTTCCATATTAGGCCTATATGATAATAAAAGGAATAACTGCAATAAATGTCATCTGTGTAATTCATAATACATTACAATAATTGGATTTGGTACCCCCATACATTAGGATTTGGTGCATCCCTAATAATTTCTATGAAAACTTTCATACATACAGGTATCATAAGTAAGCTTGGCTTGCATTTTACGAAGTCTTCACTTGGGTAGTGAACAACAGAAACCCTGCTAAGTTACGGATGTCTAAGGTCATGACATTTTCCTTCTGTTATTTCTACACTGTTCAGCTTTTCCATTTGAGTTATGAACAGTTTGACTGTTTTGCCAATACTGATTTCTTAATCTTACATTATTGTATACATCTTTTGTCTTGTCCACATTATTTTGTGGGTTATAAAAATGACAGGTGAACAATCAAATAAATACATTCAGTGACAAAAAGAGTTAATAGTTAAGCACCCAGAAGAAATGGTCCGAGGTGGATGTAATTTGGTACACGTGCAGAGCAGCGATGGGCATGTACATGATTCAATTTGCAAGGAGATGGCATGTTTAGTCACCAGACACAGAGAGTGCCTCTTAGACGCATTAGACAGCATTACCAGCACTTGAGTTTGATAGGGGTCACATTGTGGATTGGCCACAGGCCGGGTGTTCGTATCGTGCAATTTCCTGGTATGTGGGGCATGCAAATGGCACAGCTGCCCAGTGTTGGAACCAATGTGCATGTGAGGGCACCCACACACGTTGTGAAGGTTCCCGTCACCCAAGTCAGACCATACCAAGGGAGGATCGTCGTATTGTTTGCCAAGTATTACAGAACCCCATGAGATCTGTGCCTGCCATCCGAACACAGGTATTTGACTCTATACAACGTCATCATGCACCTTGTCTTGACGACTGGAATCAGCCGGACTACGGGTTCACCATCCCATGTATAGGCTGCTGTTAACATCAGTGTAGAAACAGCTGCATTTGGAGCAGTGCCGTAACCAGGAGTTATGGACTGATTACGAGTGGCATCGTACCATGTGTAATTTTGAGGTCCTCCCATGGCCAGCCAGGTCCCCTGATCTTTCCCCAATCGAAGATGTCTGGGATCAGCTTGGATGTCAATTCAGACCCTGTGTTAGTGCAGAATCTCGAGGGCCAGTTACAACAGCTGTAGGCCGACTTGCCGCAGGAGAGGATACAACGGCTGTGCGACTCCCTTCCACAGCGTATTGCCGCATGTATCCAGGCCCGACCCATACTGCCAACTCAGTTGTCTGTTTGAACTGATATTATAATCATTGCGATACAGTCACATGACCTTTCACCACATGCCGATTCATTTCATTTTCACTACTCCGTCTGGGTACTTAGCTATTTCTTTGTCATTGACTGTATAAGAAATCATTTAAAGGAGGCCTATTATGCTCATTTTCAATGGTCACAATTTTAGTTTTGGGGTCTACTACAGTAGATTAACTTAATGTTAAAAAAGTATTTTTCTTATACTGTACATCCCTATTCACCTTCTGTCTGAAATGTTCTGTTGAGCTCCACCCCCAATGAGCCCAGTGTGCTCTGATTGGTCAGCTTGCCCGACTAGTCAGCTGGTACATGTTCTGCCCCTGTCTTGCAGTCTGCAGACAGCTCCATGCACATAGGAATCCAACAAAGACCTCACCATGTCACGGAAGTAAGGCCTGGAATTCCGACATGACGTTTCAAGCAGATTAGTTACTCTCTTTGGTGTGTACTTTGGGCCACAAGACTTTGCAGATCATTTACATGCACATAAACCTATATAACACACTTAAGGTAAGGGAAAAACTGGAGAAGCATAATGAGTCCCCTTTAAAAGGTTGAGCAGTTGAGAACGCTGATAACTACCTGAGTTGAAGCGACCCACAGATGTGAATGAATCGCTGAAGAGGACTTCCACGTTGCTCAGAAGAAACTCCACCACCACAGACTGGATGCGCACCTCTTTAAATGGATTGGCCCCGCTTAGCCCAACCGCTTCAATCTCCATGGACCTGTCACCCCACCCCCCCAAACACACATAACCAAGCTACTATCAATACTAATCCTTGTGTTTTTTCTGATAGTGTGACAAATCATAATAAGCAAATATGTATGACATTTAAGACAACTGGGACACCACTCATCTCTTTCCTGTTGCCATGAAGTAGACGGCCTTCGGGGCACACGGACATGGCGATAAATAAATGTTGTAAAATAAATAATAATAATAATCATAATAATAATAATAATAATACATTTTATTTATGAGTGTCGAAAGAGTGAAAGCTAATTTAAACAAACGAGTTTTAACGCATGATTTGATAATTGAATCCAATTTCTGAATATTCAAGGGCCAGACTACAAGAGTGTAAAAGATCAGCAAGGTGACTAGAAGCAAGGCTGTGAAGACGTAAAATACATTTACAATGCAATACATTTACAATAAATGATTATTACACATTGATATGACTTACACAAGCCACATTTTCAAATATAACTTTACAATATAATTAAATTTTACTGAACTTAATTTGTTCAAATTACATTTGAATCTGACCAGGATGGGGTGCAATTGGCACCCTGATAAAATCATGTATGGTCACCACTGTCCACCAAGACTCTTGACCAGGGGTCTCCAACTCCGGTCCTGGAGAGCTACTATCCAGTAGGTTTTCTGTCCCACTTGGCTTCTGATGAGCCAAACCTGCTCCTGGTATTTACCTGAGAACAGGTGTGGCTCATCAGAAGCCGGGTATGATAGAAAACCTACTGGATAGTAGCTCTCCAGGACCGGAGTTGGAGACCCCTGCTCTTGACAGATGTGGTACATACCGCAGCAGGTTGGGCGCCCAGACAATGGCCAGGTTCTTGATGTGCATGTTGGTCTCATTGCTGTAGGTGGCCAGGCGAGCAAGATGCCTAATAAGGTACTCCAGGGTCCTAGGAAGATACAGCGAACCAACTCTTCAGTTCCCATAGTTCATTCCCACTCACCAGCAAACCTAAATGTGGCTCCTAGCTGTGCAATCTGTATAGTTTTGTAAAGTCTATCAACAAATATTCACATCATCTGATTTGTTGCAATCTCGTTTTTACAATTTTTGATGAACACTGGGTAACTCTTGAGATGTGTGTACCTGTAGTGAGGCGGTGGAAGCTGCTGAATGACATCATGGACTTTCACCATGCGCTCGTCCTCGGTCATGTCTCCCATACAGTCCTGTGACAAAGTGACAGAGAAAGGGTGAGTGAAGAAACAGCATAGCCTGAAAGAATGGACTCCTGCTGGACAGTATGGATACTTACAGGGTGTTTTGTAACATGAAATACTCACTTTGTCTCGTAACGCACCTCTCTCTCACTGTGAAGTTCCGTGTTGGAAGAAATTTGCACAAGTGCACTACACACATACCCATATACTGGACTATTTTTATTTCATTTCTAGCACTGTGAGGAACCTGGAACCTTTAGCTTCCATTTCAAAAATCATTTCAGAAAGCAGGTTTACATTAAATTTAGGTGACTGATTTGGTTTATAAAAAATAATTATGTCATTGTCACATTCCAATTCAATTTTTATTCTACGTGAAAAGTTTTACACACTGCATTTATGCATCAGAGAAGCAGAAAGCAAATTTTGTTAATCCATTTATATTAAAAACATTTCAGGAGCAAAGGGTCTCTGGCTCTGGTGTCTGTTTCCCAAGAAAAGTAGTGAAATATTAAAACTAGTGTAAATAACTGTAATGTCATGAAATGCAACCACTGGCATTTCTTGCGATTTTTTTCTAATCGCTATTTTGTGCCTCCTAATCAAATGGTGCCACCTATTGGGTGGAGTGGTCTGGATTTATAGGCAACATTTCTGTCTAAAAGGAAGGGGAATGCTCGATTTTCCTTACTGATTAATTTAAGTGTTATAGCTAGTTATTGTGGCTGACTGATGGACCCAGTTCTGCAACACAATCATTACATGGCCATGTCACACCTGCAGTCGATACTCACAGCAAACTTGTCATACAACTGGTAGGTGAGCAGTGGGTTCGGTAGCTCCCGGAAGTAAAGTTTGCACAAAGAACCCACACAATGTATGTCCTGCATGTACAAGTCCTTGGTCAGATCAGGCACATTTTCACTGTCAAACTCATGCCTGGCAAGGAAAGGGAAACAAGACAGGACAGAAATTATTGTCATGGCTTCACCATCTTGCTAATGTCGGCTAATAGCACGCAGCAGAAACACTAGCAAAAAAAGTTTGATATCTACAATGCTTTATATCAAAGCATAAACCATTCAATGTCAAATAATTAATATAATTTCTAAAATCATGTGGTTACTATGCAATATATAATTATTTTAATAATTACACAGGTCAACAAAGATTTTTGCACACAACAACCAAGAGGTGTCTTTTATGTATTATGTGTATGTGTGTGTGTAGTTAACATGCCCTCTCTGTGTCACATGAGGTTTCCTACTACAATTGAAAGACATTGCAGTTAGGTTGACTATTGCCTAAGCTGCCCCTAGTATACAACTGTGTGTGTTAATGTTTCCCTTGGTTGGCAGGCATCCTGTCAGGGTGTTGGAAGACGGATGGATATGAATATTTTACTCAACAAAAAAGGTATGCATTAGTTTGGGAGCTATAAACCATTTATAATAGTATCCTATATAACCGTAAGAGTGACATTAATCTTTGGCAGTTTGATTAATCTCACCATACCCATTTTATATTTACACTTTATAAATGAGGTGATTTAAGAGGTAGCCACCCAACCAACCATTGTGGTAATGTTGTTTTCTATGCATAACCAAGAAGAATACATCCTTTAAATCACCAAAAAGCCTGTGTGATCTTTGTCAACAATTTCATAAAAATTGAAATTAAGTTTAATTTTTGGATAGCATGCCATTGGAGCCTTACCGAGACACTGCTTCTAAACAAAGACAGCACATTTTCACATGAAGTTCTGACACGCCTGACAGTTATGACAAGTTAACTTTTATATCAGACTAATGAAATGCTTTGGTGGAAACTTTCCCATTTGGAAAAAATAATAATAAACTGACCTGAGCTTCTGTATGTTAGATGACACACCAGAGTGTCTGTAGATTCCATCCACAATACCATACTTCTCAATGAACTCTGAACAACTCTTCAGAACCTGGGGAACTGTCGCAGGACAAAACAAAGGTCTTTATTCCTTATAAATTTGAGCTCTTTGGGAAGTCAAGAGTTAATCAGATATTTTACTTAAATCAAAAATTTCTCATTATCAATCTTTACTAAATAAAGTGAGTAACATGTTTTAAATGAAAGAGTGAATTTAATTGTGACTTCTTTTAGGCTTAATCTCAAGACTTTACAAAAATGTTCATATATAGCGGTTTTTCTAATTGGACTGATTATTTAAACTGTATAGAATTCTGCCCAAAAGCATATGAACCATAACATGGGATGTCAGTCCTGTACCATCGTTCCCAGAGTTGAGCAGGTGTTCTCCCAGGTCACAGCCAAACACCCTCTCCTTCAGAATACCTCTCTGCTTCAGCTTTTGCTTTGTTGGCCTGGACTTCATAAATGCACGCAGGAAGCCCATCAGTTTACCATGCTTCTTGGATACTAGGAGTTGGCGAAAGAGAGCAAGTTATTAACATAACAGAGATGGCAGAAGGCTGTCCAGTGGGCTTCCAATGTACCAGCAGTGTTCCAGTCACCAAAGGCTATGCTATTGCTATAGTCTGCCATTTCATTGCAACTCATTTGTAATTACCTTGTTCAAAGCAATTCATTTCCTTGATTGTGAAGGAATTCAGACCACCTTCAAACAATCTTACATTTGTTTTGTGACAGTGTCAAAAGTTACAAATTATGTGTGTTGTGCTTTACTTGGTGAAGCACTTTAACGTCTAAAAGTTTAAAACTGTAAAAATTTCCAATACAAATAAATGAATAAAATTTGTGATGGCAAACTATACCAATAAAAACAGCCTGGAATAGGAAATAAGAAGTGGAAGAACTCTGTTGAGGTCACAATAATCCACAGCAAAAGGGAACAAATACCTTTAAGGGGTTATGGGATTTTTAATCAGGGAAAATACAATGTTAAGAGCTAAAAATAACCTTACTATTATTATTATTATTATGCAGACATAATACATATTTATCATTTATACAACAAGCTAATTTGAAAAGCTGTCCGTTACTTTCTCCCCAAAATAAGTTTGCTAGTTGTATAAATGGCCCAGCATTAATTAAAGAGGTTGTTACAGGACTTTAAAATAATAATATTAATAACAACATATTAGTTTATGGATATCCACTTTAAGTTGTTACCAGTAACTCTTAGGAACCAAGGCTGAAGCACTATGAGAGAGGAAAAACGCAATGCAAGAGATAAATATAGAAACAGAGATAAATAACACAGCAAAGGGATAAGCTAAACACAGACACAGACAATCACAACCATACCACTAATCATCTAAGCCAAATTCTGCTGCTTATAACATAACCAATGCATTTATCACGGTACATAGTGTCTTACTCACTAGACAACGTGGTAACACTTTACTTGAAGGGGTACAAATAATGTAGTAGTACACTCTTACTTAATGCATTAGTTAACCAGAACCCAAGTATTAGTTTCATACTGATCCCACGCTCAAGGATAATTAATCAATCATCATGGTTCATGCATTTCATGCAGTTATTACATTTGTTCATGATTCGTACTTGAGTAGCAACTGAGTTACTAAGTTACTTGTGCCCCCTCAAGTAAAGTGTTACTTACAACATGAACATACTGCAAGTACTTCACAAACCACTTTAGAACTATACCCTGACCTTTTATTGCAATTTAATGCAATTATTACCATTTCTGCAGCAATAATAACAACCATTTGTTATATGGTGTTAAAAGCTTTGGGCTTTTTGCTCTATGTTGAATCACACAACCCAGCAATATTTACTGACTATAGGAGGATGTGTAGCTATGCAGTACATTAAAATGAAATGTCATAAAAATGAAAAATATGACTGAAAGAAAAATGGAAACGATGATGTCACTTTATTTCTGCTGAAAGAGTTCCATACCTGCAGGGCACACATAAAAGCAGGATTGGGAGCTGGTCAGTAGGGGGGATCATGCTTACCTGATGTGGGAGAAGGGGGTGTGGCCACGTTCACGAGACCTGGCTTAGTGCCACTTAGATCTCCATCTAAAAGCAGGAATACTCAACATTACTACTTCTGATGGATTCACTGTAATCTACATGGGATTTACCATGCTATGGAAATAGTGATGTGGGGGTTTTGGTATGTAAAATGCTACAGAAGATGCTTTGACCTTTGGATGATGGGGCACTGACTGAGTGTGGGACCTTCTCACTGATGAGCTCCACACATTCACTGGGGAAGAAGCCAACCTAGGGATTATATTGAAAATAAGAAAAGAATATTTACTCAGGTCAGGTGCTGAGGTCACTGTAGCTTCACTGTGTCACTAAAAGCCTCAAGTAGGTGACAGTGATAAAGACAGAAGGAAGTACCTGGAATCCATGTTTGCCTCTCCACCAGCTAGTGTCTTCCTTGGGTGGCATATCAATCACTGACAGGATATCTCCTACCTGTGGGCCATCCAAGCCACAAACACTCAGGCAAAGGACAGGCTTTTAGAGTCAACTGACCCATTTCCCCTTTGACACCAACATCAGCACAGACTACTGCACTAGAAAACGCCAAAAAACCTGTTCTAAGCACAGTTACAGGCGCAGCTTGCCTTATTTCAGGTCTTTTAACTTCTCTCTGACCCAGATAAGAACATAGGCAAGTGAACAGAAGAAAAAGAATAGTCCTCATTTCTTTATGTCCCTGCAGTTCTCATAGGGGAAAGAAGGAGATAGAGAAAAACCAAAAAAGCGCCTGGAAAATCTAGAGAGCCAGGGAAAGAGAGAAAGACTGAAAATGCACACTGGCGTGTGGGTCACCCTGTTCTCTGGTGCTATGGCCCAGATAGACGAGCACTATATGGAGCATTGGGGGAGGAGAGTGACAGGAATAGACAGGGAAGTGGAGTTTGATGAGCAAAGAGGACATAGTGTGGAGTGAGAAGGGCTGCCACACAACGTGCTGCTCCGGGCTCTGGAAGCTCTCTGCGCTGCTCTTTATACTGCACAGTGAAGCATTGAGTTTTATACTCATAGGATTACCAATTTTTTTTTTTTTTTTTTTTAAAAACAACAATGATCAGAATACACTGTACATTTACAGTTAATATTGAGTCACTCAATGCAGTATGCTAGAACCAGTCACATAAGCTGTAGGGTATGTTTCACGTTCAAGGAAGTCAATAAAAACAAGTTGCTATGCTGCTAACCTTACCTCGATGGAGATCTCATCACTGGCCTGCGCTGTGTACCGCTTGATGACGTGGGCGGCAGCAATGGCGGGGACGTTCAGCGATGCTTCCTCTTTCAGCAGAAACCGGTTGCCATGGTTGTCAATCTGCAAGGGCAACAAAATCCAGCCACGATAATATCCCTGTATATTAACTGCTGACAAAATGCCAGCGAGTGACCTCACCTCCATCCAAGTGAGCACGGGCCCACAGTTGAGCTTGTTGTCCACAATCACGGAAAGACGACTCAGGTACTCGGACAGCAGAGGATAGAGCATCTGCAAAACACAGAGTGCTGGTCAAACCACGAAGACTGCAAAGCATCCAGATCACCAGATCACGAAGAATACAATATTCATATGAACACAAATGTTCTGCAGGGTGTCGATGGCATCAATACCCAGTGAAACTGCACTGCAGTAAACAAAACAATAAATAATCAAAGTCAATAAGTAACAGAAAAACCCTGGAGGCACCACCATCATTCTGAATGAATGCTATCACCTACAGCCTTGCTCTGGAAGAGAAAGCAGCTTGCTTACCTCCAGCTTGTCCCCAATCTCGCTGGGGGCCAGCAGGGGCAACAGCTGTGAGTAACGCCGGTCATAGATGCACTGGTGCAGGTGAGCGTCCAGTGTGCGGAACTCCTCGTAGGACCGGCGCACCATCCATGCTTTGCCCTACATCCATGCGGGGACATGCACCCGCAGACAGAGAGGGAGGGAACAGGGAAGAGGGGAGGCGGTTGTGTCATTTGCTGTTTATGTTTATGTTTATAGCATGTTTATGTTTATAGCATAGATGTTGATCCAGCCCAGGGGGTAAGGCCAATTATATATAACCCCAGCAATGGCAGGCCCACTCCCATACCTTGCAGGAGACCTGGACCAGGAAGACCAAGTCCTTGGCAGAACTGGAGCTCCAGCTGGCATCATTCTGTGTGCTGGCCAACTGCAACTGCAAGGCAACCAATAGGTTAGGGGGTGGGGCTTAGTTGGGGAAGTCTGCACGTGTCAGACAGAAAATGTCTGCCACTGCACCGACATCACAGCAAGCCATAGTACACAGGGGAATTGAAAAGCTGCTTGTGTAAGTGAAACACAGAAAACCGAAAGCCATGTTTTACTTCCTATTTCTGTTAATCAATCACTGACACTTAGCTTAGGGCAAAGAGGGAGTGACTACAGGAGCAACTGCTGATCACATAAGCTGTTTTTGGGTGCATTGTTACCTAACTGGAAGCACATACCGGTCAGTGTATCTTGCTGTTTGAGGGGTCTGTGGTGGTTTGCACAATGTTAGGTACATGCAATATTCTAGGCTGAAACATCCTGTTTGGCTGACGTAAGAGGGCAAAAAGGGAACCAGACAGATTATCAAAAAAAAGAGTGCTTGCTTTACGACTCTAAAGAATATGACAGTATGGAAAGAAAGGTCTTTTTCTTATTAATAAATGAGATTCCTGGTGGAAACAAGAGTAAAATTCCTAAGGTGTTAAGACATACCCTTGCTGATGTATGTACAAGAATTTCTCCTTGGATCAATGAAGTTCATCTCATCTCATAATACAAACCAAACATAGGAATTACATGACAATATCGGTAGCTGAAGTGGTAGCAGGACTGTCATTAATTAAATACTGCTGCTATTACAATTGAACACTATACACATAATTATGTGCATCTTCAGTCTTTGTGTGTGGCAACTAGACTGTTTAAGAATGAAAGAGAATGCTAATTTCCTGTGGTCACATTTACCAAGATGGGCCCTAATTTTAGGCATGTCAATGTGTCTGTGGTGCATAAATGAAAGATCATGCAACAGTTTTGATGTATATGAGCAGCTGCAAACAGAAAGGTGTATATTCATACGACTGCACAAGTCCAGCAGTTGCCATGTAACGATTGTTTGTGTTTCAGTGTATGTGTGTTTATGGCCCACTGACAGGACAGTGGAAGAGAATCAAGCAAGAAACACTGAAAATGTTCCAGCTGTGCTCTTCACCCTGATTTCACAGGACGTTACCACTTTACCACAGATGCACACGACTGAGCAGAGCCATGTCAGAGTTTTGGGGGAACTCACTGAGGGCCCTACAGTGCAGTTAGTGCTCTCAGTGTCTAGGTGTTACTGAGAAGAACGTCATTTACACGCTAGAAAACAAAAGCAGAAATAGCAATAATACTTTTATATTAATCAAATAATACTTAAATAAAATCCTGCTGCTTGGTAACTTGGAACTTACCTCAATGGATCCAAAATCCACATTTTCATAGTGGAAGTGAGCACAGTCAACTAGTTTGGGGAAATGGCCTTTCACAATGGATAACCTAAAGCAATACACAGTGGGTAAATCAATGTGTACTAGCTCATGGTAAACCTTTCCTCTGATGACAAGCTCATATTTCAAATCCTCAATTTGAAATGAAGGTCAAAAGCAATCTTGAGTATGAGTGAAATTTTAATATTAATCAGGTAATCATCTTGCCTGAAATTTCAGGCACATTCTAGTACTTTAGAAATTCTTTAGAAAGAAGTGTTAAAAGTGCCATAGAATGCATTGCTCTCTGGTGTCTACATAGAAGGTATGTGAACTTGGTTTGTTCGAAAAATGCCCAGAACCGATTTTACAGGTCCATTTACAACCACATTATTTAGCCCTAGAATTGAAACAGGCCGTCTTTTGTTTAACATTAATTAATTCATATTAATATGTTGATGAGCTCTGCTCTGATTGGCTGGTTTACAGTGAGGCATTGCAATGGCTCACACAACCAACATCTCTACAGTCAGGCGTTGCATAATAATGCTTTGGTTAAAGACAGATTGCATAAGATTATAACAGAGCTGAAAAATTCCCTTCACTAATGACATTGTAGTGCAACGCATTACTCAAGTGTTTGTGGTGATGTTAGTGCATACAAAACTACTACACTGTCATTAGTATAAAGCAGGGGTGGCCAATCTTATCCATAAAGGGCCGGTGTGTATCCGGGTTTTTGCTGCAACTCCCTAATTAGCTCACTAATTAGAGGACTGATTGGCTGAAGAGTCCTCACACTTGGGTTTGAACAGCTGACCTACAGGTTATCCCAAAAACCTGCATACACACTGGCCCTTTGCGGATAAGATTTGCCACCCCTGGTATAAAGGTATAGCACATACAATCATGTACAGTAAATAATTCTTGATAATGATAACTATGTTACTGAATTATAAACTGTAATGTACTTTTTGTCCTTATTGTAGAGGATACTCTTTCTGCTTTGCCCCACATAACTGTAATACTCCCACTTCAGCCCAGGCACAACGTTAGCATAGTGATTACTTTGTTTTTAGCATTGTAACAAAAACACTGGAATTATAGCCGTGGCCAAAAGCTTTCCGAATGACACAAATATTAATTTTCACAAAGTCTGCTGCCTCAGTTTTTATGATGATGTTATGAAAAGTGATCAGATGAATTGCAATTAATTTGCCATGCAAATGAACTTAATCCCAAAAAAACCATTTCCACTGCATATCAGCCCTTCCAGAAAAGGACCTGCTGACATAATTTCAGTGATTCTCTCACTAACACAGGTGAGAGTGTTGATGAGGAGATCACTCGGTCATGCTGATTGAGTTAGAATAGCAGACTGGATGCTTTAAAAGGAGGGTGGTGCTTGAAATTATTGTTCTTCCTCTGTTAAGCATGGTTACCTGCAAGGAAACACGTTCAGTCATCATTGCTTTACATAAAAAGGGCTTTACAAGCAAGGACATTAATACTAGTAAGATTGCACCTAAATCAACCATTTATTGGATCATCAAGAACTTCAAGGAAAGAGGTTCAATTGTTGTGAAGAAGGCTTCAGGGTGCCCAAGAAAGTCCAGCAAGCACCCGGACTGTCTCCTAAAGTTGATTCAGTTGTGGGATCAGGGCACCACCAGTGCAAAGCTTGCTCAGGAATGGCAGCAGGCAGGTGTTAGTGTATCTGAACACAGAGTGAGATGAAGACTTTTGCAGGATGGCCTGGTGTCAAGAAGGGTAGCAAAGAACCATTTCTCTCCAAGGGAAACATCAAGGACAAACAGATATTCTGCAAAAGGTACAGGGATCGGACTGCTGAGGACATCATTTTCTCTGATGAATCCCCTTTATGATTGTTTAGGGCATCCAGAAAAAAGATTGCCCAGAGAAGAAAAGGTGAGCGCTACCATCAGTCTTGTGTCATGCCAACAGTAAAGCATCCTGAGACCATTCATGTGTGCGGTTGCTTCTCAGCCAACAGAGTGGGCTCACTCACAAATTTACCTAAGAACACAGCCATGAATAAAGAATGGTACCAAAACGTCCTCCGAGTGCAACTTCTCCCAACCCTCCAAGATCAGTTTGGTGATGAACAATGCCATTTCCAGCATGATGGAACACCGTGCCATAACGCAAAAGTGATAACGCTCGGGGAACAAAACATTGACATCTTGGGTCCATGGCCACGAAACTCCCCAGACCTTAATCCCATTGAGAACTTGTGGTCAATCCTCAAGAGGCGGGTAGACAAACAAAAACCCACAAATTCTGACAAACTCCAAGCATTGAATATGTAAGAATGGGCTGCCATCATTCAGGATTAGGCTCAGAAGTTGATTGACAGCATGCCAGGGCAAATTGCAAAGGTCTTGAAAAAGAAGGGCCAATACTGCAAATATTGACTCTTTGCATAAACTTAATGTAATTGTCAATAAAAGCCTTTGACACTTATAAATTGCTTGTAATTATATTTCAGTATACCATAGAAACATCCGACAAAAAGATCTACAAACACCTAAGCAACAAACTTTGTGAAAACCAATACTTGTGTCATTCTCAAAACTTTTGGCCACGACTGTATTCTGCATCTCAGTCAATAAATGATTTACTCTGCTAGCTTTATCATGCATTTGTAAATATGTTGTTTATAATGAATGAGGATTTTCAATGCTTTCAATATTTTTGAAATTATCTATTAGATATTTTTTTGCTAACCAAAGGTAGGATACAGGCAGTACAGAAGTCTCTTCTCAATGTCAGTATCACAGACTTTGTAATGTTGCTTACTGTTCCACCATCTAACCTAGGGTATGTTACCCAAAAGCATAGTTACCAACAACATTAGCAGCTTACATACCAGGAACCAGGCAACTGAATGGTTCTAAATATCTAAGTTCCCAATTGGAGCTTTTGGGAAATACACCTGTGAATAGGACCCACATTCTTAGCCTACTAATAATAAGTATCACATACATACATGGCTCTCAGTATATATTTTTTTCCTCGCCAGATGCACACATGCCATTTAAGAGAGAAAATACATGTTGCAGGTTGCGCGGGTCCATTGGGCTTGAATGTGGGCTGGTGTATGTTCATTACGGGGGCAAAGCTAGTACTATTACATAACAGTCTGGGATTTTGGAATCAGACCATTTTACTACCTATATTTTATTTATTATATTTGAAATAGGGAACAAAAGTGTTTGAGATTCATGGTGTCACTCCATTTAAAAATCTCTCTTTATTCAGCTACGCCAAGGTAAAGTCAGATTTTCATTCTATGGCACCTTAAACTGTTCACAGTAATAATAAATGGTGAGATAATATGTTATACTAGAGAGGAAGCAGTACATCTACACAGTTCACCTTTTGCTCATTTTCCCTTTCAAGTTAGCTGTGGTGCCCACTGAGCGTGTTGTGGGCTCCCTGGAGCTGTCCAGATTATCAGTGCTCTGAGCCTGCAGGGAGTGGAAAACAATACGGGGGGTGGGGGACAAAGACAAATATATATTGGCCCTCAGACACTTGATTACAACAGTGGCATAGAAGCCTATAGATCCGATCATGCAGCAGATAACATAAAATCATTGTAAATCAAGCCATTTACCCATCTGTCTGTCAGGAAGGAAACAGAGTAATGCAAGAAGAGAGATGAACAGACAGTGTTAGGGCAATGCGGATTAGGGGCTCTGCTCAACAGGAGAGCAGCTGCTGGTGCTTTACAACTCTGGGCTCATGGTCCCTCCCAGAGCATGTGAGCGGAGTAGAGCGGTGAGAATTTCCGCTCCTCGCTCACGAGGCTGTTGGCTCCGCCCACTCCTCCGCTCTAATTCGCACTACGCCGCTCCGCTCAACACCGCTCCTCGCTCCACTAAAATTTCCTCCACTCACTGAAACAGTTTCACCACAAAGTTGTTCTTGCTCTATATTATTGTCATCTATAGGCTTGATAAGAATATTACACTTGTATGATCTATCAGTTTCCTTTGTGAAATACTTTGCAAATTCCACCTCGGCCAATTTGTGTAACAGTCTTGATAATTGTACAGATGAATTCTGGGTAGATTTGGGCACGCCCCAGAATCATAGTGTGAGCGGTATCGGAGCGAAATTGGAGCGAGACAGAACGACCGCTCCAGCTTTAATTAAACAACCGCTCCGCGTTCTGACTAAATTCCGCCCGCTCCGCTCCTCGCTCACGCTCCGCTCCACTCTGCTCACATGCTCTGGTCCCTCCACACAAGTTCATCAGTGGGACAAGAAATAATCAAAGCGGCTGGTATCAATTGATATTGCAAATCATAATTAAAGACAAATGGCTGGCCTAACATATCCTTGCTTAATTATTCTTTTAAAATGAGTGATGTATATGACACATACACTGTGACAGTGTTTCTCAACCCAATCATCGGGGACCTCCAGACAGTACATATTTTTACTCCCTCCCAGCACACCTGAACCAATGCTGAATACCAGGTACAGGTGTGTAGGGAGCTGGGAGGGACCCCTAGGGAGTCCCCAAGGACTGGGTTGAGAAAAACTGCACTAATGAGAAGTTAGGCAGAAGCTAATGTGCTCCTTGGCCCCAGCACATGGGCAGATACCCAGGCCAGCCATGTGACTGCATTCAGAGGGCTTTCCATGGGAGAAATATGGTAGGAATAACACCTTAATACCATCAATGAAGAGCTCCTGGGTCTTAGAAAGAGCACATCTGATTGGACTCATGGACCCAGAAAGCCTGTCAATACTTACCGGCAATTGCAACGTCAATGCTCTGGGCAAGATACCTTAAGAAATGGGTGACAGGTCAAAGGTATGTTGATGCAAGAGAGGCCTTTTGTCGAACGTTACGGCTATATGTCGGTAAGGCATGGTGACAAATCTGTAGATCCTCAAGCCATTTAACACACCTGCCACAGCAAAACAAGGCAAGGTTCCTGCATTGCTGCTGCCCACAAGTAGCCAATTCAGGCTGTCAGCTGTGGGTGAGCCTTTTAGCAAAGCCGAGCATGCTGCACGCCGGCCAGCCGGCACACATGCCACTACCATCTAACATACATAAAGCATAGAGAAACACTAAAATAAATGTCACCACATCACATTACTGCCACCGCCATTATTCACTCCATGGGTCATTCCATGTCAAATCATCACACTTTCGGACCTCGTCGTCACGGATTTTAACAAAACTTGGCTTGCTGATTTGGTGACATGAAACTGAAACTGGGCATGTCTGGGATCAATATTATGTCAGATTTAAGCGAACAAAGTTTTAACTTTTTTTTTGGGGGGGGATATGATTTTGACTGGCTATATTTACCATAATGTAAGCTGCACAGATTTGATCCCTTTATTGTTTTAAAGCTATTGTCCAGCTCTATAGATTGAACAAATAAAATGCCATCCCCATATGAATAATTACTATTAACAAAAAAACCTATATTTCAAAATTGAAAGCTAAATCATAATGTCATGAACATCTCCAGAAAATTTGGTCTTTGGTTTTTAAGGTGCTGCTGAGATATCTTGACGTAACATGGTTTCATATCATTAATGGGCCTTTTTAATGGCAGCCAAACTGACATGAAATAGTATAATAAGCACAGGTGTAAGTAATAACATTAAGGTTACACAAATATGCTACAATGAAATTTAATGGAAGCTTCGAATAATGTCATTGCAGACAGCTGTACTTGGCTAGTAAATATGGCTAATAAATGCCCTGCATTCATCAGTTTGGCTGCCATTAAAACGGTAAGTAATGAAACCCCAGGCAGAGTGGCCTGTATACTCTCTGATAAATATTTCAGAAGGCAATCTGATCATTCTCTCTGCTAACTGCCAACCTGAGCTAAAGCATCTCAGTCATTTTGCGCAGCCAGCGATAAACAAGGAACACCAATATAGTCTTAAGACTGTATTACAAGCAAACATAAAAGGAAAACCTGGAAAATTATAGCACCACAGGAATAATAACTGCCACACATGCTTTAGACACATTCTCGTCACACAAATCACTCACTTGACATGTCAATTTGGGGAGGTGGGCGTGTTAACAGGAACCATTTCACATTTTTCAAAAAATGAACAAAACATAAAATGCACAAGGAAGTTGAACATTCCATGCATTCTTGGCATTTCTTAATAACATAAGATCTTTCTAAATTCCCACCTACACCAGTGAGAGCTTTACTCTTCTTACCCCACCCCACCTGACTGAGCAGCTCGAAATGCTTAGTATTGTTGCATTTCTGTTGTGCTTTGTTTCTGGAGACCCGTAAGGATGCTTTCACATGATAAGCATTGAGCGCTGTGCTGAGCTCAGTGTCAGCGCCCTGTTCTTGTATATGAGCGGCAACGTGATCATAAAGTGCTCACCTCTGGCCACATTCTTTTACGGTTGTTTATTGTGTTCATTATTATTAATTAATAATTATTAATGGTTGTAATACTATTTTTTTGTGTTATAACTGCAATATTACAAAAGGTAGATACAGTCTCTCACTGATGCTAAACAGTGACACAACTAACCTCATACTAACCTCCCATTTCAAACATTATAGCAACTTACAAAGTTAAGTTCCAGGCATCCCTGCCTGGATGCTGACATTTTGCATTTTTTACTAGTTGCAAAAAGCATGCAGTGCACCTAAGTGTGGGGCTGCATGATTTTGGGTAAAATATGAATCATGATTTTTTTTTTAAACTTATTGTCTTTATGGAGATGAAATGAACAATATATAGAGATATACGATATATTGGTTAACATACCGATTTTCTGTAGTGGAGGTAGAGGGATTTCATCGGTTCATTCATCACTTTTAAGAGGTGTATAAGTTCCAGCTGGCGACATGTTTATAATTCATAAGTCTGCCTTGTAGATCAATCATCCTTTTTTATCCATCCATCCATCATCCATCCATCCATGCGTCAAGTTGGTGTGACGTGAGGTTGCAAGTCAACGCTCAACTCCCCATAGACATTATTGGAATGCCTAAATTAGTGTGCTGCTTGACACTTATCATGTGAAAGCCCCATAATGATTGGGCTGCCCTGGTGCCAGGCGTATCTGTACACAGCACAGTACATAGCGTGGGGATCACACACAATGACCCAACACATAAACATTGTCATGAATGAACACACGCACGCGCACGCACGCATGCACACACACACACAGAGCGAGAAACACAGAGAAGGGCCAAAGGACACTTACCAGACATGTCTGTCAGGCTCATTGCTCGCACAAACATGGCACATTTCCGAACCCACTGGGGTCCCGACACTTGAAACCAAAAAAGGAAAATAAAGGGGATTTAATTCTCCTTCTACCTGAGAATGGTCCACCAAAAGTGGGCAAAACATTGCTTTCCATCCCTGTGACTGGAACCCGTGTCAGTCTAACAGCCAACAAATGTGAACCCCAAATCAAATATCAAATTTCTTTAGCAGACACATCACACTGACAGCCATGACCCGATGAATTCTTATCACAGGTACAGGGTCCTAACCTGCAGAGACACACAGCGCCAACAACGGAGTACACATAAAATGCTACAATCCTGAAATTCTACTGATAGCCTAAGCCAGGGGTCTCCAACTCCGGTCCTGGAGCGCTACCGTCCAGTAGGTTTTCTATCCTACCCGGCTTCTGATGAGCCACACCTGTTCTCAGGTAAATACCAGGAGCAGGTGTGGCTCATTAGAAGCCAAGTGGGACAGAAAACCTACTGGATAGTAGCTCTCCAGGACCGGAGTTGGAGACCCCTTGCCCTAAGCAAAACATTAAGACAGGTAGCTTGGAACTGTTTCTGGGAGAAACCCGGGACCTGTTTAACTAGAATTCTAAGAAATAAGAAAACTAGATTTGATATGACTTTCACCTTAACACATACGCACATCTTCTAACTGCTTATCCATGGTCTAGGGCACTAGGCAGTAGGGTTGCAAAATTCCCGGAATTTTCAAAGATGGAAACTTTCCATGGAAATAATGGGAATTATGGAAATTAATGGGAATTTAG